AACTTGTGTTCTATTGCAATAAAATATTGAATATGAAACTATAAAACTTGGTTCATCTTTTGCACGCTAAAATTATAGTTTTATTCACATCCATATATCAACGTGGAACTCTGTTCAGATACAAATCATTATCTTTGCTGCAGAAAGTCGAGAAGCGAAAATGTTTCAATTTCAAAATTACAGAGCGACCAGAGAGTTCCTGTCGACGACCACTGGTGAACACGTGACTGGCCGACCTCATCTTTTTCAGCTTTGTTTACAATTATTAAACAGTTAATGAGCTCCGAAGCACCAGAAGGCTGTTTATAACAATAATAACAGTTGATTGGGAAGTTTTCATGCTTGTAAACTGTTTAATAAATGTAAACAAAGCCGACAAAGATTGAGGAAAGATGTACACGTTCGTAAGTACTTGTGTAACTGCTTCGTGAATCAGGCCTCAGGAGACCTCACAAGAAGTACGGAGGTGAGCAGCAGGCCCACTGCCACCTTGGCCACCTACATACATGCAATCATTTTCACCCATGTATCGAGCTATCACTATCTGTTTAAAAAGGAATTAATCGATAGCCTCACTATTGCTAGCTGGTAATTGATTCCTCTCGTTCACATCGTTAAGACTTTGCGGTCTCGGGAACTTGGCGTAAATATCATCCATAGGGTAACAGAACTGAGGATTGCCAGTGATGGGCAGCGTTGTCCGTCAAGACGTGAAGCAGGACAGTAGGAGTGAGGGGCTCGAATCCCGTGCTTGTTATGGAGACATATTAAAATATTTAGTCTTCAAATCCGCGCCTTTCACATTATTCCATCCTGAGCTTTCAAGGAGCAAACAATAGAGTTTAGAACTAATGGTATGTTTCTGTTTGAATTCTTTTGTAATTATTTATTATTAGCGCGATATAAAACTCTGAGGTCTCTCAGATTTGCAACACTTAGTATCATAAAAATCTCCCATCTCCACGGCGATAAAATAATAATGCGAATTTTAATGAATTACGACGCACCTGGACCTATGTTGCTCGTGAAGTATAGATTCACAGTGTCGATGGTCTTAACACCTCAGTAGTATGCGAGAGGTATGCAAAATAGGGAAAGCCTAGTTGCGCTCCGTCACTCGCCAGACTGACTGACTGACTGACGAGCGAGCACCGCAACTCCCTCCATGTTTCTCCTCCTCTCCTGCTACCCGCTGTAACTGTAGCCTTGTATTTACGTTTACTAACTATTGTTAATTCCTACCATTGTTTACTCTCGTCGACCACCTTGGGTTTTTTTTCTGGAACCTCTCAGTTAGGGATCATAATTCCCCCAAAGGTGGGAACCGTAGTTCATATGGTACAGCCTCGCTCCTGTGCCAAGTCCTCACCATAGCCTGTGCTGCTTGGAACTTTTTGCTCCTAGAAGCTAAATCTAATAACAACAATTTACGCTTATTAACATATTCTACAGATACTCTGGCTACCAGCATCCTAATTTCTTTGCGAAATGCTTTTATTTACAAGTCGAGGAGGCAAAAATTATGTAATGGTAAACATATTTATGCGTTTGTTATATTATGCTGTGGCCAAACACGCCGTAGTCAGTCAATCAACACGACGTGCCCTGGCAACAAACACGACGTACCCAGGCAACAAACACGGCGTACCCTGGCAAATAAACACGACATACCTTAGCAACATGTTAATTCCACTTAACATGAAAGTCACACCTAGACTATTAACCACGAAGCGTAGCGTTCAACTGCTATTCGGTCCACGCTAACATATGCCTCAGTTTGGTCTTCATACTTGAAAATTAATAATTGGTTTGAAAGTTACTTAGACTTTATAAGTTATATACGTTAGTATATCGCGCAGCTGCAATGCCTCATTAGTGATGCATGACCTCACCAAAATTACTTTAGTCAGACGTCTAGTGCATGATATATGAATGCAAAATACCAAATTAATTTTGCATGAGGCTTAAAAACTGGCAAAGGGTATGACGACACTGTAGAATTATTACAGGACATGTGTACAAGAATGTTATTGTTGGTATGTGGAACTTGATGGATAATAGGCGTTCTCTCGCCCTACTGATCTGCCACCTCCACTTGCACTTGCTTGTCCCGCCCACACCACCCTCACCGGCCCTGCCCACACCACCCTCACCGGCCCCGCCCACGCCATTCTCACTTGCCCCGCCCACCCCACCCTCACCGGCCCCGCCCACACCACCATCCGGCCCCGCCCACACCACCCTCACCGGCCCCGCCCACACCATCTTCACCTGCCCCGCCCACACCACCCTCACCGGCCCCGCCCACACCATCTTCACCTGCCCCGCCCACACCACCCTCACCGGCCCCGCCCACACCACTCTTACCTGCCCCGCCCACACCACCCTCACCGATCCCGCTCTCACCTGCCCCGCCCACACCACCCTCACCGGCCCCGCCCACACCACCCTCACCGGCCCCGCCCACACCACCCTCACCGGCCCCGCCCACACCACCCTCACCGGCCCCGCCCACACCACTGACAGGCGAGCGGGCTCTCCGCCATGCTGACACTGTGTGTGTGTGTGGTAGCTAAGCCAAGCTTGTTCTCTCTTGTCAGGGAACTGACGAGTGAGTGCAAAGTTCGTCACGTATTTTAACATACATAAAATAATACCGTGTACCATTCACATGTGCACACTCAGGTGCTTATTGACGTGTTTGCAGTTTTGTCTCCAGGGTTATTTTTTCGTGCTGGTTTTCTGGTTTATATTTCATTTTAGAGTTGTGTGGTTCGGTTGCCCTTAGAATTGACCCAAGCTTTTGAGCCACCAGCTGTGGGAGTGGGGAGCTTCATCTTGCAAAAATCTTATTAGCTTCGGGTCTTCTAAAATCTTGTTTCGATTGTTCTATACCCCTGGTAATCACCTAATTACGTTTGCAGGGTTGACCTTCGGCACTTTGGTCCCACCTCTCAACTCTTAATCAACTAGTGTACAGATTCCCGAGCCTATTGGGATCTTTTATAACTACATTGGAAGCGTGTATGGAGTTTGCCACCAATACATTGCTTTCTAATGCATTCTATTTGTTAATTACTCAGACACTAAAAATACTATTTTTAACGTTTCTCTGGCTCTTTTGGGTACTCGGTTTCCACCTGTGTCCCCTTGTGCGAGTACCACCTGTACTAAACAGTCTGCCTTTATCTACCTTGCCGGTTCCCCTAAGAACTATGGCTAACTATTGTAATGCTCATTGATTGTGTGTTCAGAGAGTCATGGAGCTCTTTCATTATTTGGTCATGGTGGACGGTGTTTTGCTACTCTTTTTAGTGCCTTGTTTTCCATGTTTGTAGTTCTTGTATCTTAGTTTTGCTTAAAGTATGCAGTGGTAGTGTGTGATATTAAAGATGCGGCCGGACTAGAGCCTGTTGTAGGTGTAGCTGTATCTTGATACAGTACCAAGATTACGGAATATCTTCTTTGTTTGCCTGAGGCTGTTTTTGCTATGTTTATTTTCTCACTTAATTAAGTGTATTTTGATTCACAGTATTCTACCAACATGCATATGTTGGATTGGGTGGTTGTCATGGATAATGGACTCTGGATTTCTTTCTGCGATCTATATTATTTGGAAACTTGATTCTTGGTAACAACATTTCCATTGCCTCTTAAACCTGTTTAAAACTCTATTGCTACCTTGGTTTCATCGGCCATCAACGTCTTTGTCCTGGGTGGCATATTAGTTACATTTCATTGTCTGCCCTGATTTATATTCTCCATACTGGGAAGAAGGCTGGACAGCTGTGTGTGTGTTGAAGTGTGTATGATAGGCAGCTTGCCTGTGGCACTCCACTTTTCAGTTTGATTTCATTGCCCAAATAGCAGTCAATGCTAAGTTCTGTTTAAAGTTTATCAAGTATGCTAAGTTCTATTTTATGTTTAACTGTTTTACTGTCTATGAAGCTTCATAGTGTTTCAGTGAATCACAGCCATAGACCTGATATTTTGTATTTTAGGCCAGTATGCCAGGATTTGTCAAAAGGTTACAATGCATCTCTGAGCACCGTTACACTGCTCTTTGTTGTCATGACATGGACTGTTTTTACCTCATTTCACATAAGGGCCACCATCTCTAGTGGCCTCAACTTGGGGGCAGGGGCCAGATTCGCGAAGCAGTTACGCAAGCACTTACGAACCTGTACACATCTTTCCTCAATCTTTGGGGGCTTTGTTTACAATTATTAAACAGTTAATGAGTTCCAAAGCACCAGGAGGCTGTTTATAACAATAACAACAGTTGACTGGGAAGTTTTCATGCTTTGTAAACTGTTTAATAAATGTAACCAAAGCCGTCAAAGATTGAGGAAAGATGTACACGTTCGTAAGTACTTGCGTAACTGCTTTGTGAATCCGGGTCCAGGAACTCAGCTGAGCCCACCACCCTCACCTGCCTGAAAGATAAACTTGGTTTAGTTTTTGTCTTAAATTTGCAGCAACGCCATTATTTTTATTTTATTTTATTTTTTTGCTGTCCCCACCAATGTTTGAAATGAAGCCATAAAATAGGTGTGATGGTTTGAAAATGTCATAATTACCAGTTCGTATGTTACTGTTTAAGATGCTATTTCATTATTACCTGCAGATGACAGTACAGTATTGGCTGGGAAAGGACAATACAGAAAGAAGGCCTTGAGAATAGGTCATATTTGATGGTACATATTATTTGTAATTGCTATTTATCTTTCCAAAAGTTGTTGGTGCCTTCTTTGATAATTACTTACTTTCCAAAAGTCGCAGATTGCATTACAAATGACAAATGGAATTGGCTTCTGAGAGTGAACAAATAAGAATGAAAGTATGTATACTGGGGGATAAACTACTGCAATTATTTATTTTTTCAGACTAGGATGAGCAAATTTTTAGTTACTGCAAAAAATACTATTACCAGTAATTAAAAAAAAATTTCACTCGACTAGATTACAAAATAGTGTTTGAAGGTTCAAGCTCACAGGCACTTTGTGTAAGGTGCTTTATTATTATAAACTGTACAAAAATACTTTAACAAAATATTTCTAGGAACAGGAATTCAACACGGCCTTGAATATAATCTGAAATAAGTTCTGATTATTATGCAAAAAGCTAATTTTAAATTTAAATTATCCAGAAGTGAGGATTTCCTGATGCTGGACTAAAATTCCATGGTACAAGATATGAAAGAAACAGTTACAACAATAATTTTATTCAATAAATATACTGCATACTGTACAGTGATGTAGGAATATAAATGTATGAAATACAGTGGCACTCATAGATGGAGAATGGCAGACAATAGTAGTAGACTAAATTAGTCTACACAATCATTATCATTAAGAGAGAGAGTGGGAGGCTACATATAGGATAGGTTTCATCATGACAAGAGGGATCATAGAGTAATCTATGCCCTCCATGAGATACCTGGTTGATGGGAATGATACAGTAATGTATTTCACTTTCATAAATCTTCAGCAGTCAATATAATACTCCACCTACATAAGCCTCCCAGCTCAAGTGTCTCTTACAAATTGTTTGTTACTTCAGTATCATGTAACTTATTTTTAAGAATATATATATTTTGTTGCTTGTTACTGTGTGTTTCAGTACCCACCTGTCTGGTTATTTTAAAGCATTTATAGACAACCTAAATTCACTCTGATGACATCATCTTAAAGAGGTCACACACTGTTTAGAAGAGTTGTAGATAAGCTATAACACCTTCAGAAATTTATTACCTTCATCAACTATAGTATTTAAAATTTATAAAAATGCTTCATCACAGCTATAAGTCTTTCTGAAATCACACAGAGGGGAAGTCAAATTAAATACTGTATAGTACTTTACTGTACAGTAACAATAAATGTCAAGAAAAATCCATAGCAGAAATTTGCAAAAGCTTCTTCTCTCGTTCCACATTTTCATGTTCTCGTGCAGCTGCTAAACGTGCAAGAACTGAAGCTGGAGACATATTTACCTGTTGAAAAGATATTATTTAGTGTATTACTTGGAAATCCAAATTGAATTAAAAAAATGCTTAATGCACAAGTTGCTGTGACAGAAAACAGTAACTAACTATAACTATTAAAGTTCTACTTCTTTTATATAATTATCATTTTATTTACTTCCTTTCATAATACTGTATGATACATCTGTCCTACCCTCTTCTCAAACTCAATATTCTCTTATTTCCCCTTCCATACTCTCATTTTTATCTAATATTACCCCAAAGTACTTAAAACTTTCTACCTCTGCCATTATTTCTTCCCCCACTTTTATTCTTCAGCTCAAATTATATCGTGCCACTCGCTAAGGGTCTACAAAATCCACAACTTCTCATTCCCTTCTCCCAAACACAATAACCTATGTCCTTCAACTTTCTTCTCTTGCGCACAAAATCAAACTATATCATGTTTGGCATACTACCAGCTACTCATGGCCTGGTTCCCTTGGAAAGGTGTGGGCTGAGTGATCTTCACAAACGTAATTCACAAACCATAAATTTGCAACAAGTCTAGGAAACTCATCTAACCCCATAATTAACCAGTGTCTACTTCATATCAAATTTACATGCAAATATAATAACTTACTTTATAATGATTATCCACTTTGAAAGAGCTATTGATGTGCCCTTCTCCACCATCTCCTGGGAGACGTCTATTATATGACTTTGTCATGCGATCCAGTACAAATTCTGCTGCTCCTCTTGCCTGGCATGAAGCACATAAACCAAGCTGAGACAAACGAATCACTTCTTCCCTTAACTGTTCTAATTTCAAGTGATCCTGAAGAAAAAAATTATGTTACAATATAACTCCTAACAATGCAAGATATTTAAAATCATTAGATGACATTGAGACAAACATGATGACTTTGACAAGGCAAGCTTTGAGGTTTCATGTAACAAATGAGCAAGTGAGCAGATCCTTATTATAAAATGAAACACTATTATATTTATGTATCCTGGCTATAACATTGTGACCATAAGATAATGTGAAGGATTTGTGTGAATGAAAGCTGCCTTGAGAGAGATACTAATGACAAGGAAGGGACCAGAAGAAACAATTTCCTTTCTATTAATTAAGGGTAAATGATGAAAGCTAAGAAAATTGAATGAGCTTAAAATATAATTGTAAAAAAAGATAAAGTATGTTTAAACATGCTATATTGTAATGTACTGTACTGTATGTATATACAAACTGGTATTGGGAGAAGGCAAAAATTATACAGTACTGTACTAAGTAATTTGTTTTGTTAAGGACAGGAAGCATCAAAGTTGCTTTGATGCTTCCTTAAGATCTATATTAAAGTGGGAAGTGAAAATGATATTGAGACCTTACAAAGCGATCTACATGAACTCCACAAATGGTCAGATGACTGGCAAATGCTTTTTAATGTCGAAAAGTGCAAGACCTTTCATGTGGGGCCTAACAATCCACGTCACAACTACTAAATTGACAGCACTACCTTACAACAGATAGATGAAGAAAGGAACTTTGCAGTCAGAATTCATCATTCATTTACCAACAGGTAAATTCATGTAAACTCCTAGCAAAAATATACTGAGAAGTATTCTTGGAAACATGAAAATGGGACAAGCCAGCAATCTTGTGACATAAACTTATTCATTACATTTGTAACACAGTCTCACTATTCATCTGCAATATTTCATGGCTGCAAATCATCTTTTGGCATCTATGACATCTTTTGTCAAGTCACATATGACAACAGATAATTATTATTTAGATTTAGAAAAGGCCTTTCTTTGAAGGAAACAAAATCAATATAAAAAAGCATTTACTTTTAATAGACAATCCATGAATATACATTGGTATCTTGGTTTAAAACTGCCCTAGATTACAATTTTTTTTTATATACAAAGTCAAATTCCTTGTAAAATTTGACTTGGTGTACGACGTTTGCCGTGGAATACGACATCTGTTGATACTTGTATGGGCCGAGCGAGCGCGTGGTTCTGCTGGGCACGGGCGAGGCACGTTCAGTTTACCTGTCTCCCGCCTAGTGATGACAGAGCTTGAATTCTTTGTAAAGAATTTCATTGTTTTCTGTTTTTTGGTTTCTGAACAGTAAAGTTCTTATTATATATCATGCTATGGGTCCCAAGAAAGTCAGTGATAAAGTTCAACCTAAGAAAATAGTTGAGAGGATGACGATAGAGGAAAACAAGAGATCTTTCATAGTGAATGAATGTGATGTCTCATTACAGACAAGTGTTAAAACATAAGGAAAACAAGTGTCTTTAGACAGATTCTTAGTAAGATAAGCAAGCAGTGAGCCACAACCAGGTCCTAATGGCATAACTGCAAAATGTAGTAGAGAGAGTACCCCAGAAATGTATTTTTAAGTTAATATTTTTAGGTGTGTAGAAGAGATAAATTCAATTTACATTATTTCTTATGGGAAAATTCATTTCAATTTATGAACCGTTTCTTGGAACGGATTAAATTCGTAAACAAAGGTACCACTGTAATATCCTCTGTCATGTAAAAGTGTTAAAAGTAACAATTTTATTAATATACAGTACAATACTATCAAACTAAAAACCCCAAAAATACAAAATGCCATAAATATATTTTTACTACAGAGTATAATTACGTTTTCTAATCTTTCTTGGTGTACGTGAAGAGCTCGAGTCTGTGAAGTGATCTGGTTAAGTTTAACCTCTTGCTCGTGCCGACAAACATCAACTTGTGTTCTTGCTGTCTCAATTTCTTTACGAGTCTGGGCCAGGAACATTTGCTCTTGGGCAATGATATCTCGCTCCAGTTTTAACTGGCAAGGAAGAATTATGTATTGGATTATGCCACAGATAGCATTAACTATTTACATTTAATGATTAACTATTATACAACTCAATCACCCTGTAAGCTATTACAGTATACATCTCAATCACAGTGTAAGCTATTATACATTTCAATTACGGTGTAAGTTATTATACATCTCAATCACAGAAGAAGTTACACTGTATTATACATTTCAATCACAATGTAAGATATTATGCAGCTTAATCATAGTGTAAGGTATACATTTCAATCACAATGTAAGATATTATATATCTGAATCATAGTGAAAGCTATGATAAATTAAAAACATATAGATTTTTGTACACACCTTTGTCTTCTCTTGGTCGACTTGGAGGCTCAACTCCTCTAACCTTGTTTCCTCCTCTTTTAGTCGTTTCTCCTGGTAGTTTACAGCAGTAATTTTCTCGTGCAAGCAGCGGTGCTTGTCGTTTATGGCAGTCATCTCAGCAGCAATAGTCATTTGATTCTTTTACAAAAATAAAAGACACAAGTTAAATCTCAAGCTAATGATCTTTGCTTAATCAAAATTGCATGTCTAAACAAAACCACGACTCTTCAGTGACTGTGAAAAACAACAAATTGAGCTTTAGCCATTCAGTCGACTTGTAAGAAAAGATCCACTTTGTTCTCTGGACAAGAATCATGCCAGTCAAGCGGAAGATATTATAGACATTGGTGTCACAGGGATTTTTTCAAGTTATCCCTGCAGGGTCATTAACGGTGTTAAAGGGGTCACTGAAGACACATTCAATCCATTCTTGAAAGACTGACAGAGGTGCACTCTATAAAGACTCAGAGCTATGTCAAAGATCTCCCTAAAAATCACATGTGACTGTCAAACAAGGCCTTCACCTTAAAATCCACTACCTGCCCAGCCACCTAATACTTCTCCTAGATGCTACAAGAAAGTTGTGACATCACTACAATATTCTTGGAATGGGAGAAAGGGAAGAAGAAATAGTGGCAACCAAATTGAAAACTCAGCAAGTTGCTTTTCATATTTATTCAAAGTCTATTTGTGAGCCACTGTATTTCATCTGGTTGCACCATAATGTAAATGTCAAACATGATTGAAAGAACATAGAAACAAAAACCAGAGAGAGAATTGCCCAAAAGCAGCATCAAGCCAGCTGGAAAGCAAATGGGGGGGACCCCATGAGATGAAAAGTGACCCAACACTATACACTGTCGGTGCAAGTAGTGAATTTTGGATACATTCTGTACCTCTCTGCAAAGACACATTTGGTCCTTCAAAAGTTTTGAGCATGGATCTTGGCACAATTAAGACTGCCAAAAAAAAAAATAGCATTGAATGTAATGAAACACCATTTTCTGGGTGAGATCCGGAGGCTCCCCGGAGCTATACCGGGCTGATGTGTATACAGTATATTAGACTCCATCAATCGATGGAGTTCTAGACCTACTGGGGACCAGCGCCAGAACCTAGCCTACTCAGAAAGAAACGAGGAGCAATTGCCTATTGACACCGTGTAGTTGGAAGCCTCTTATCTGCCATCTACCAGGTCTGGCACCCAGAAAAGTAGGAATCCCAAAACAAACTACAGCTGGTGAAAAATTGGGCACATCAGAAATATGCAAGTCTATTTTACATTGCATTTCAACCTATAAACAATATAATACAGTATAACATTTTACCCATGCTTTATGATGCTGTCTCTTTCACAGAAAATAATATCAGAGACGGTTTTAGATTCTTGGGTACAATTCTCAACTTTAGATAAATTTCAATAATATTGTAAAGCAAAGATAAAATTATTGTCAGAGTATCATCTACAGTTCATAATATTACAACAGCAATCAAATAATTTTCTGTAAACTTATTTATCAACAAGCTACTTTTAAACAATATCTAACAGTATTATAACAGTGTACTTAACAATAACAACAAAAATAGTGGTTTACCTACCACATTCCCTCCAGTAATGTTCGTCTCGGGAGCAGAAATGTGTGCCAGTTTCTGCTGGATACTTATGTGTGCTTGTTGAGTGGCCAATTCTTGTTTTTGCTGATTCACTGACTGTAACAAGGACCGGTGTTCAGCCATCAAGCTTTCCCGAGCAATGGCTAAATTCTGTCGTTCTGTTTCTGTACTGGTCTGGAAAATTCCAAACAGATTATTTCTACTTCAACATTGAAACAATATTAATGGGAAAAAATAAGATTCCAAGTGTGATGAAAAGCTTTTTTTTTACGAGTTTGTCACTCGGTTCCTCCTTACTATGGCTTCAATTACGTTTTTAATGATTTTCATAGATCAAAATTACAAGAAATAGTAAGGGATCTTTGGAAAGCCATTGACAATACAGTATTTGAAATAAAATTCTGTTTAATTTTAATTTTGAGATTCCCTGGTTTTTGTTTACAAATAAGGGTCTTTTTTCCTTTGAAAATGAGGTTTCAAGGCCAGGGGGGCGTGGGAAATATGTTGAATGTAGTTACGGTAAATCTCTTTACAGAAAGTTTCTCTTGGTAGTTGTCCTTCATTTGACACATTGAAATTCAAATTTTGCTCAGTGAAATCAGCCGATCAAGCATTGGAAATATTACGGTATGAATAATAATTTTCTTAATATAGCTTCAATCAGTATTTTGAGGATTTTTGTTGATGGACTCAAAATTACAAGAAACAGTTGAAGACTTGGGAAAGCTATTGAGGATATCTAAAACCAAAATTCTATGGTTTGTTTTCATTTTGAGATGGCAAGGTTTTTGTTCACTCAGGTTTATCGTGCTACCTTTTGAAAATGAGTTTTGAGGCTGAGACATGAAAAAAAGTTAGAGTCAGTTACATTTTTTGTTTTACACAAATGTTTATTTTGTAGTTATCTGTTATATTATAGGATACAATTAAAATTTTGCTAAGTGAAATTAACCCAAAGGGAATGGGAAATGCATCCTGGAGGCATCTCTGGTTGCAACAAATCCCTCAGTGCAACGAATTGGTGTTGATCCCATGTAGTTGAATCGAGGTTGTACTGACCACTGTACATTCTTCATGGACATAATGTACTGGTAAAGAAAGTTGATAAAGCAGTAAACTTTCCAACATAATGAGAGCAGGGATAAACCATCAGCCATTTATGACATTTGTGGATTTGGAAAAAACATAACAATGTTAATAAAGGCCTTTATGGGAGGAATGATGAGCATGAATGGAGTGTTTAATAAATTATTTCAGTGTCGGTAACTAAGCATGTTAATATATACTGTATATGTAGGCCTATTGTCAGAGTTGTGTGAGGTCACCTTGGTTATTCAATATATATCACGTAAATTTATACTGTGTAAATACCAAACACACAAATATTTTTCAATGTAATACATCTGATTTGTGTTCTAAATTGAATACAAACCTGTAAGTGCTTTCGTTCTTCTGTAATTGCTTGGCGTTCCATTTCAACTTTCATTCGTTCCTGAGCTAGCCTCCATTTTTCTTTCTCAACCTAAAATAAGAATAATTTTCAGTTGCACTAAAGCTGCAATGAGAAAATATACATAGATATACATATACATGCACTCACATACCCAACTCAAGTACTATACATAAATTGTACGCATGTTATATAAGATTCCGTTCAGTATTTGTTACATTTTAAAGAAACTAGGGAATGACCAATCATTTGAGTTATTAGCTATAGAAGTGCTACTGCTTCAACTTCATTACAGTCAAGTGCACAATAAAATCACATTAAAGTGATGTATCAATGAGAAAATCAGTAGGAGCCTTGAGGAGGCTCCTCAAGGCATCCTACTGAAATATGGCATCCTTCGAACCCCAAACACTTGGTTAAACATTTATCTCCTTAAACTCAGTCAACATAGATTTGAAGCTAACCAGATTACATTTTAGTAGCAAAATTTTATCCTGCAACCCTCTATGAGCTAGTCATTGAGAAGGATCTGCCATGCTTGACTTGAGCTTGTGTCAAGGGCTGGAAGAAGCACCAAGTGTCCATCAGCACTTTGTGAACCGCCTTCAATGGTTAGAGATGTATGGAAAAGGGGGCGGGGGGAAGACGAGAGATAGGATGCAAGAGTGAGATGGTTCAGGCAGACTCCATAAACCAACTGAAAGCTGCATGCCAGCAAAGTACATGGCAAAAAAGCTCATCACTATCAAAAGCAATGGATGGTATATCTTCGCAGCAGGGATGACAAACTGAACCTGAGGCTAAAAATCTACAGCAGTAAAGTTGAACTTTTAACATACCCATACCTGCATGAACCTCTAATCTCAGGCAAATATGAAATGGCAAAAAATGACTAAGACCTACCTCGGAGCCTTGCTGCATGAGAGTGCTCTCAAGTCTTTGTATGAGGGTACTAAGTCGTCGTCTTTCATTTTCCGATTCAGCACGTGATGTTGCTAATTGTGCCTCAAATTCTTGCAACTGTTTCTCCTTCATCTGTTGGAAATAAACAGTGTAAATAATCAAGGGAATATCCTCATCTAAAGGTACTATAATAGATGTTTCAATCTGCATATAGTTTCATGAAATCTATCGATACTGTAACTGTAAAAGAAAATGTATGTCTGTTTGAGGTTGGAGCAGATGCCTGGGGGCTAGCCCCCACCAACCTTTCCAGAGTGCTTGATCTTTGTCTTGGGAAGGATGTAGGTGGGTTCGGACCGAGCCCCCCACGCCCTTTGCGTGAAATAGCTCCCAACCACTTTGACTGGTCAGTACAACGACAGCCCTGCTTCTTGCAGGTCAGCATTAGATCTCAAATAGTCCAAGTGGTTGGGCCGCATTCCTTCCTTCTGTCCTATTCCAGCTCCTTGTCTTCAAAGCATTTCCAAGTTCAATAGTCTTACTGGCTTAGTGCTTTCTCCTCATAACTACCTTACCTTGCATGACATGGTAGGGGAAGGAAACTATCAGGAGAACAAGAAGAGTGCAAAACCAATTTTGACTATACAGCATGCATGACATGGTAAATCATGCTAATTTCCAAACTTGCTAAATACCAAACTTCATCCCCACTAAGATTCATCTAGCATATTACTTTCTATATGATGATTAAATGATAGTTTTTAATATGTAGTTTGTTTAGTGATGAAAACAGTATTTAGTGAAAATGGTTACAGGGATGAAGGGAAAGTGAAGAAAGGCAAGTGAAGAAGAGAAAGGAAGGTGGTGAAGGAGAGGGAAGGTAGTGATGATAATGGTTACAGATGGGGTACATAGCAGTGCCTGTGTAGAGAAAATGGTTATTGTGATGACATTATTCAGTGAAGATGATTACAGTGATGAGGATGATCATGTAATTTAGATGGATACAGTCTCAAAGGTTGTTTGTAGTAAAGTTACAGTGATACAGACTTTGTGTAGTTAAGATGGTTACAGTGGGAAAGATGGTGTGTATGTAAGATGGTTAGTGATAAAGATGGTGTGTATGTAAGATGGTTAGTGATAAAGATGGTTATAGTAAACAAGATAGTGAATAGTGAAGATGGTTACAGCAAAGATAGTGAGTAGTGAAGATGGTTACAGTACTGAATATTTTATGTAGAGAAAATATGGCATCCTTTACTCAAGCAATACCGGGTACCCCCCCTCTAGTATTCTATAAAGGAAAAGGATAATATACAAAATATCTTTGAAAATACAGCATATATTTGTCTTTAAATATTTATTTCTGGGAGGGCTCCCTCCCCTCCCTCTCCTCTTCAGTAGCTTTTTAATGCTACAACCTGGAAATACCCACGCCTTGGAAAACACACCAGGCCTCAAAAAGCCCGAGAGCCTACCATAATCTAGTCTGCTTGAACAGACTTAGAGGAGCCTGGCGATCAGATCACCACACACTAACAAAATCCCACCTGAAAGCAACCATCCCTCAAAACAAGAAACTGCTTGGAAAAATTTGTAACACTAATGATAATGTAAACAACTGCTTCTGTAGAAAAATCACTCCTATTTACATTCTCATTAACACATCAGTTGTATGTTCTGTACCACCCACCTTACATGTGGCCCTGAATTGACAATTCACTCTGGCTGTAATGGGCAAGGTTATCATCCTCTAGTGGCTGGGAATGGTTAAAGAAAAAGATTTGCAATGTTAGTCTTAGCCTGGTACAAACCTGGATATTATACTGCCCATGACGTGTGTGTGTGTGTGCTGTCGGCAAAACAAAATTACTTTATACCTCTTAAAGGTATAAAGAAAATGCCTTCAGCATTTTAAATGTTTCATTTTTTATTAGAAATTCTGATCCAGTTGACATTGCACCTTGGAAAACAGAATAGTTTTGAAAAGAAATTACTTGAATTACCTTAAGAGCCCTCTGAGTCAATTCCAAGGCAGAGTCATGGCGGGTGTTGATGGAGGCTGTTAATTCGGATAAATTAGATGTATTGCTCTCCAACTGCGTCATCACTGCCTCAACCTCTCTGTAACAAAGTAATACATGATGCCTTAGACTTGTACAGTCTGAAGAAATGTTACTGGTGGATTATCACAGGGTTCAGTTCTAGCACCAGTGATGTTCACCATCTACATATATAAATGATCTACCAGAGGGAATACAGAATTATATGAACATGTCTGCTGATAATGCTAAGCTACTAGGGAAGATAAGACTCATAATTGCAATGCCCTTCAAGATGACCTGGACAAAATAAATGTATGGAGAAACTTGGCAGAAGGAATTCTTTGGGAATAAATGCCATGTTATGGAATGTGGAATAGGAGAAAATAAGCCACACACAAAACCTACAAATTATGTGAAAAGGCTTTAAAGAACTCGGAGAAAGATATCTAGCAGTGGTTCTGGATAGTAAACTATCACCCAAGGACCAAATATAAAGGACACTACGAGATGAGCCTATGCTGTGCTTTCCAACTTCAGAGTACTGTACCTTTTCTATACTGTACATTGATGGTGAAATACTAAAGAAATTGTTAATGATTTTGGCGAGACCAAAATTGGAATATGCAACAATTGTATGGTGTTCATATCTCAAGAACCACATGAACTAACTGGAAAAAGTGCAAAGACATGTTAGCTACTGAATGACTTCCAGAACTGAAAAACAAGAACTACGAGGAGGCTAGAGGTGTTAAATTTGCCAAAAATGGAAGATAGAAGAAAAAAGAAAAGATATGATCACTACATACAAAATTGTGACAGGAATCAACAAAATTGACAAAGAAGAAAGTTACCTATGTAACTTCAATAACAAGAGGTCATAAGTTCAAGCTAAGAAAGCAAAGATTCCCCAAAAATATTACAAAGTTTTCTGTAATATAGAGTGCACACAGTGAAGTACCAATGATATCATGTATATGGATGGGGGGGTAGCAACAAAAAAGGATTGGGGGAGGAGGATGAACAGAGAATGTATGCTTACTGAATAAAATATGTATAATAGCATGAAGGCATAACAGAATATCAGAAACGAGGATGAAAATACTTTCGTGGCTTTCCTGCTACATAAACAAAATGAGAGTATGTCAGCATCATTTTAGAGGTTGTGAAAAGTTACTGTAAAACAAATTTACCATTAATTTAACATGTAAATATTGGTTTAGTAACTTATTCCAGCAGGTAACCTTACCTGACTTGTCCCGTTGCAGACAATATGGCTTTCAATTCCAATTCCTTGAGCTGAGAAATTCTCTCCAGGGCAGCATGGTGCTCTTCCTTCATTCTCTCTATCATTCCTGAATATAATTCTTTTGTGCGTTCCACTGCTTGAGACCACTCTGACTTGATGCTTGCAACCTGAGCTTCATATGAGGATGCCAAATTCTCCTTCTCCTCCTTGCAACATGAAGAAATTTTATGTACTTTGAGATTCATCACTAGGATTAATTATTATTTCTTGCCAAAATAAATAATGTTTAAATGTAGTGGAAATTATACAAGCTTATGCCACCATTGTTATACTAATGTAGGAGAAAAGAGAGTTATGTTATATTTCCACAGTTGTTCAACACATACATTGACAGGGTCATCAAGGTCAAGGTAAGACTATTGTATTAGAGAAGGGTGTGAGCCTAGTGTATGATACGAGTAAACAGAGCACACGTATGTCATACAATATTTGATGTACTGGTACAATTGGTACAATATACAGATGATGCAGCTGACTAGACCACACACTAAAGGTGAAGGGACGACGTTTCGGTCAGTCCTGGACCATTCTCAAGTTGATTGTGTCTCACAATCGACTCACATTCTCACAATCGAGTTGAGAATGGTCCAGGACGGACCGAAACGTCGTCGTCCCTTCACCTTCTAGTGTGTGGTCTGGTCAACATTCTTCAGCCACGTTATTGTTACTCATCGCCTGCATGATGCAGCTCCTCTTGAATAATAATTATTTATGAAGCTAACAGTGCTGTACTGTAGATTTATACCTTTAAAATTATTTAGATTTGTAAGGAATCTGGACCTCAGGACATTTTTAATTTTTGGCTATTTATCTCAAAATTTATGAGTTTTCTTGTAGCAAATGATATGATACCTGCTTGATAACACAATTTTCTTCACATTTACACATAACTTAAATACACAATACTGGAGACAAAGATCTTGTTTATACAGTATATAATAAATAATAGATATACTGCACTGTATTTAAAAATTACTCTCTGGGATGGTTCTATCAGTAGCTTTCCAAGCTACAGCATTAAAGTTGCCAAGTTTAGGAAATTGCACCAGGCCTCCGAGACATCCTCGAGCTTACTGGGAGCCGGGACTAGAATCTGATTCACCCTCCAAGGTAGAGGAAGCTGGAGGATAAAATATCTACTCAAAACTTAAAAAAAAAAAAAAAAAAAAAAAAAAAAAAAGTATAAGAGCATCAAAATAAGCAACTGCTTGAAAGGAAATTAGTAACCTTGAGAAAAAAATGCTGACAATTTTTGCTATTTGGAAAAATACCCCAGCTGTCATGAGTGCCATCAAATAGCAGCACATATCACATGGCTCCTTACCAGCTAGTAACTCCATTATCTTGCCTGGTGCAGCCAGGGCCCCACTCTCTTCTGGGTCAACATTCAACTTTGGGCTTTCAGATAAGTGGTGCTGGCTATCCTTGAAAGTTTTGTGGTGTGTGGGACCATTGCTTTGTTACTTGTTCCATTTTCTACTCTACATTTGTGATTTGGATCACAGGTATTGCATGTGCGCTGTATTTACATTTCTCTTCAGCAATGTGTCAGGATTCTTTCTCCTTGTAGCCAGTATGCGTCTTCTACAAGTTCAGTCCTCTTCCAGGTATTGAGTGTTTTTGCTCCCCACTGTTAGGTTTGAAAATAGGAAGTGAAAGTAGTTAGCTATATATTTGAGTGGCTATCACAGCTGACTCTGTTCTCTATGCAGGTGTGGCAGCATACACCTTTACTTGTCAAGTGCTTAGGGTTAGAGGTCAGTGTTTGTTGAGCTGAGACACTTACCCTGCTCCTGCATGATAGACTAGGTTTTCCCTCACCTGCGGAAATGGTTATCATACACACATTTGACACCCACCTTCGTGCCTGGCACTGTGGTGTACAGTTTTCTCAGTGTGATTCAGTGATTTGCCTGCCTGCTGCCTTCATCACTTCACCTCATGGGTTCAGGAGCCAGTTTCACCCAGGGTGCATGCCATATGTCGGCACTGTCCTTTTTTTTGGCTGATCCATCTTCTTGAGTGGTAGCTTATCAGGCATTGTTGGATTTCTCTTTGTAGCATCAACTTCTATAGTCCACTGGCTGAGCCAGGTAACATGGCTGCTGGTCTCCCATTGTTTTAGGAAGAGAGTATTGAGCGTCTTGTTTTGGATACCTGTGCCAAATATATGCTAGCCTCCCCTGCTGCAACTACTTTGGCCATTCAGAGCCTGTTCATGTGGCTTCCCAATCTCCTCCATTGTTACACTCTTAAGCAGTCTCCAGGAGCCAACAGATGGGACTTTGACAGAGGTGGCAGAGACTTCAATTTCCTCTTCGTCCCCCCTTATTTCATTGGGATATGTCTCAAGGTTCATCATCCCTGGGAGTTGGCAAATGTACAACAGATGTAAGCAAATGCTTACATTTGCAAAGTACAGTCTTCGTTTTCCGCTCTCAGAAACAAAATGTCTAATAGGCTTATCAAGATCTTAATTCTGGGGTACATATTTACTGCTAGGTGAACAGAGGCATCCGGTGAACGGAAACATGCTCAATGTTTCTGTTCTGCCACAGGAATCAAACCCAGCAATCTTTTGGTTGTGACACAACCACGCTTAATAAAAATATCAACACCTCACAAGGTTAAGGTAATTATTATTAAGAGTTAATGATTTAAGAAACATACAGATATGCAGGAATATTCTGTCTAGGCTACCATATAATTTTAATTTAGTATTTTAAATGTAGGAATATGTTTCCTGTAGGAAAAAGAAAGTAGTGATGCCCTTGCAAAGTAAAATACTTATTTACCTGCACCAATGATATCTTTATCTGGAAGTCGGACAACAAACTATCACGTTCTTCCCTTAAACGCTTTTCCACCCGACCCCAGACTTCCTTCTCCACATCCATTTTTCGCCTAGAAAGATTAGAGGTACAATTTGCTTTGTATATACCATGTAATGACACATATACTCCTGATTTTACTAATACAGGTACAGTATGCATGTGAAAATTTTTATATCAGAACTCAAATTTTATATCAAAGACGAGCAGAAAATAAAAATACTGTATCATAGTGAGAAAACAAATAACTTGGAATGAAAGCAGCAAGAGAACTTGTAAAGCATTCAACCTAATTAAGCAGCCATGTTAACTTCATACATGCCAGGAAGTAGATGTTTGGGCCACAAACACAATCAGTTAACTTACCAAAGGTGCAAGAACCTAAGTTTAACTGCCATGAGAATATAAATACTCAAACTTAAATAAATACTGTACCATATTAATTTGAAAGCATTTGTGTTGAAGCAAATAAAGGGTCAGGATAAACACAGAATTAGACAAGATCAAAGCAATATACTCCGTACATACAATATATATGTAGACACAGCAAAATCACTATAAATGTGTTTGTCATGAAACATAGGCTTACCTGTAACCATCCTCGAGCATTGCAATTTCTTCTGCATGTTGTTTACGAAGAAGATTCAGCTCGGCCTTTAATTTTTCAACCTCAACTTCTGCTGTTCTTAAGTCAACCTTAAGGAAAATCAAATTAGAATATATTATTGCACCTTTTAAATAAAAATATTTTTAGCACATCTGGCAGCTACAATAAAATGTGAATAAAAAGTAGTTAGGGAATTCATTAAATTAGAATTGGGGATGAGGAGAGAAAAAAAGGAATAGGAGAAAAGGAGGGTCAAGGAAGAAGGGGAGGGAGGGAGGAAGGCAAGGGGGGGAAGGAAGGCAAGAAGGTAGACATGCTAGGTAACCAGATAATGAGAAAGTGAAGAGGGAGGGGGAGGGGGGGAAGAAAGAGAGAGAGAGAGACATGTGTGCACACATACAAGGTCTTCAAGTTGATGGAGAGTATCAACAGGGAAGATGTGAGCAAGGTCTTCAAGCTACAAAATTATGTCAGAACCAGAACTTTAAACCAGTAATGGTTTACTTAAAGTATGTGTAAAGTAATGATTTACTTTACACATATCCTACCTAAGGGAGCAATTAAATGTGAATGCAGAAATATAAATTGTGACAATTCTTCACCAATCTAACCACACCCAGCCTTTGCTTCCCTGAATTTATTCCCAAGGTTCAATTTGATTGCACAGCAAAAAGTTTGGATGCCTTTCCTTACACCTGATGCTCCTGTTCATCTAGTAGTAAGTCGATACCTCTGAGAACGTCAACTGTTGCAGGATACAACTTCCATCCTGGGAAAAGTCAGTCACTGGCCTAGGGAGTAGACCTCTATGAGCCTGACAGGCTTACTGTCCCCAACAATGGGAAACACACACACTTAGATCTGATAAGCCTTTACAGTCGAAGTGTCTTCAGTAAATTATATTTTCAGTCATCTTAGTGTTTGTCAATACATTTCTAACTGTTTTGAGAACATGTTCCAAATTTGAATTAGGTAAGGAATGAATGATTATTCATGGTATGATATCCTTGAGTGGAAAAATACAAATACTTTATTTAAATTCAGACATCTCCAAATCTTCCTTACCTTACCATCATACTTTTACAGTATCTTTAAGGTAAATATGCTCTATGGTGTATGTACAAACTTTTCTCAGTTATTTTGCAACTTACAAAGAAATATCTTGATAAACTATTATTATGATGAAAATGAAATAAATATATACAGGAGCAAATAATTATATTATTACTTATACTTACTTGCACAACTTTATGGCGATCATCTTCATTATTTAGTGGTAGGGGAGTATTTAAATGTGATGTTGAAACTGCATCCTTATATCTGAAACAAAGTTAAGATATACTATTGCAAATTCTCCGCACACACAATTTGTTAAACTTTACTAAAAACTTACAAATAAGGTAATATAATAAGATTAAAATGTATTGCTCTTGCTTACTTTTTCCTTCCTAACATTCATTATCATCATACCTTACCTTACCTTGTGATGATTTCAGGGCTCAACGTCCCTGCGGCCCAGTCCTCGACCAGGCCTCTCATTGCTAGACTGGTTAACCAGGCGGTTGGACGCGGCTGCTCGCAGCCTGACATGCAAAACTGTGTCCATGTCAATTTCTGATATGGACATCACTGGTATATATATATTTATACCAGTTTATGGCAATCACACATGCAGTCAGTGTTTATGCAAGTACAGTTGGAAGAGTGATAATTGTACCAGACAAGTGCTTGTCATAGTCCACAGTCTGATTTTTATTAAGAAAGAAGTAAATAATTTTTAAATCAATTAAACTTGTTTCCATAGTACAGTAAGTGTGTGCCATAATAAATCATTGCTCTACTACTTTCTTGTAAAAATTAACTGATTCATAAGCATTTAGTCAACCCTTCCACTCTCCTCCAGTCTGAGGTCATGACTCTCGACCTTAGAATGAGCCAACTCATACTGTTCTAGTCACTACACCAAGTGTAATACTTACCCTTGTTAGGAACATACATATACATATACATATGCAGAGACAGACAGACATAGTAGTAGTAGGCATTCATCAGTCTCAGGAGGCTATAGAGTTGCACTCTGGCTGTCGGTCTGGAGTGGCCTCTCCAGGGCGCAAAGCCAGGGTAGGTTGATATGGGAAAGAAGCTGTCACCCATTTTTTGTTTTTTTATGAAATTAAATAAATTTTATCTCAAGGGAGAACTCTTGCATGGGACCACCCAAGCAGCAGGTCCCCCCCTCTCCACGGCGCCAAAAGTCTCCAATAGAAAGGCAAATGCCAATATGATTGTTTCCAGGGTCGTCGCAGGAACTGCCAGGAGGATGAGGGCAACAGCAAACTACACTAGGGGCTCCAGTTATGGAGTTTACCTCGAAGTTCGTAAAAGAAGACACAGGGACTCCAAACCCGGAGACCACCGTGGTCAAGTCGGAGAAGAACCACCCCAGCAAGTTCAAGAACAACCCCAGCCTCCTGAAGCAGAGCTTGGGCTGCACGAGCCCCAGGAGGTGGACGTCTGAGCCCGGCACCTACGGATTCTAGACAGAGATCATCACAGCCCCCTTTTACACGAGGCTGGCATACATACATACTTTAATTTATTCTCAAAGAATTGCATTACATTTACATAATGATCCGAATTTCATAGTGGGCCCCCTCTGGAATCAAATATTTTTTCAACAAACCCAAACTTTGCAAGGGATATCCAATAGGTGAATTTAGTCAGTTATTTAGATGGATTCGTTATATAGAGATGCGAAGTTTTCAGGGTGGAGTGTACAGTACATTTTTTTGCAATACTTCAGATAAGACACCATATTTTGTTTCAACATTATGTTCCTAATAATGTTGATAATTTCCTGATCTGTATTTATATGTTAATATAAATTAAGTTAATAATTAATTAAGGTCAAGGTATAATTAAGGTCAAAGTTAATATAAATTCGGGCAGGCGTTTCGGGCCTGCCTGAAACGCTTTGCGTAATAGTGGCTTTAGGCATTGTATGTACTAGCTCTATCTATAAAGCCAACAAACTTTGTAAAATCTCTTTATGTATGTACCTTACCTAAATAAAAATTATTATAATTATTATTATTATTATTATTATTAATAGTGGAGCAGCACAAGGGTTAAACAAGGATTCAATCACCTAACATCAGATGATACTCCTTAAAGCATCTGAATACCTTTGAATTCTTTATCAGTGATATCTGGAATTTACTGCCAAATAAACAAACCTAAAAATCCACTACTTTATAGGACACAATTTACAAAAATCACTTTTGTGATTTGTGTGTCTTGTTTTTTAGCTTTCTTCTCATATATATTATTTCTAAATATTAATGGTTTCATTAAATCTATATTATTATAAAAGATTCATATAGCACAGAGGTCTACATCCTCAGCTAACAGCAGTGTGACCTGGGTTCAATCCCGGGCAAGACAGAAATGGGTGGGCATATTTCATTTCACCTAATGCTTCTCTTCACCTAGCAATAAACAGGTACCCAGGAATTAGGCAATTGTTGTACATTGCATTCTAGGGAAGGTCAGTAGTTGGCCTAAAGGAACCTTGATTAGACCAAGTACAGGCTTCCTGTTCCTGGCAACGGGAAAAAATTAGCAGATTAAAAGTTCTGAAATTTATTCACATACATCAGTACAAGTACTGTACAATGATTTCCATGAGGTAAAAGTGTCAAAATTAGTACTGTACTTTAAACTTGATACAATTATATAATATTCTCAAAAATGTAGTTTATCATGCACTATAATGGAAAGGTCATTCCTAATAATTATTTTGAGCAAAGTTAATCTCTTCAGGAGTTAGATTTCCCAGCAGACAATTTTCTAAACAGAGTACTGTCACACAATAGCAACATTGTTCTCAGACAGTAATGTATATGAGGACAAACACTTACAAATATTCCTAAAACATTTTCTCTGCTAACAGTTTCCATTACTGCAGAACCTCAAAAATTTAATTTTACTTCAGATTAAGTACTTCTATGATAAAAAATTGACTTACAATCATAATTATCATATTCAAATTTTCAAATCAAATACAGTATAGTGAGAGAATAATCAAGTGGACTCTCCAAAGGAATAATCTGACTGGTATATTTACATTATGCTCTGTGATAATTGTGAAAAAGTATACACAAATGAAATATCCTAAAACTCAGATGCGTGGATTTACAAGATTTACAAACTTCGGCCTGCAAAGTCAATAATACTAATAACACTTGTGCCTCACACAAAGACTAGAACATCACCTCACTAACTTCAGGGATGCTAAACAGCATTATGAAAGAGTACAGAATCTGCAGGCATCAAACAAAAGGGCACAGTTGAAATTATCAAGTGACGTTGAGCATTGTTACCCCCTCATCCTAAATTTACACTACAAAAATATAAATTTAACACAATCCATCAATTCTGATGTCTACCTCCCTTTTTTTTTTTTTCCCCCCCCTGTTACTAACACTAGCCCTGTTTAACTCTTCTGAGATCTGATGAAAAAACTTGAAGGCAAAATTATATCTAAAAATGAAAGTGACTGTACATTCTTCCTGGTGTTTCTCTACATTATCATCAACACACACTGCTCTCTACAACTTACAGTTCTACCTCAACAATCTTTCAAGTCTCTTGTACGTTGACAAAAATCTTTTTTTTACGTTAATTCCACTGTACTGTACTACACAGGACCAATATTACATAATTAATTACTAGCCTCTGATCTTACAACTTGTTTCTCAATCTAATTTTGCTTCATCATAAACCAGTAAGGCAAATTAACCTACACATTATTTGTTAACACTTATTCTGGTAATCATTTGATATCAACATTTGCAGGTTATAGCGGTCAGCCAGTTCTTCTTCAAATTAAATCTAAACAAAAATGCATCATGTCTATCGTGCTGTTAGATGCCACAAAAGCAAATGGGACATTTGTCTTTTCATTTTGCTGGATATCAATAAAGCATAGCAGTTAGTGATTAATTCATGCTAATATACAGGCTATAATCCAGGTTTTCTCCCAAACATGACCTAAAAATTTTATAATGTATGATACTATTTGGTGCAAAATTATATCACTGTAGACTTAAGACAGGTGATACATAATAAAAATGCAATTTCAATGTTAAATCAGCAAACAACCAATGGAGAGGTAAATGGAAAATTGCTACAAGAAGTGTAAACAAGCATTCCAAAGAAACTATTGTAGTAGCTTCAATAGCCATCATTTCAATTTTAAAATTTAGAATAGTTCTGAATGGCACCTCAGTTCCTCCCAAACACATCAATCAGGGTCCACCCACAGGAGTACAAAAGCCTGTTCTTCAGTACCAAGTATGTACCGTTTTCTAACTTTAATGCTATGTTGTTGATGAGGTTAGCATGAGAAAGATATTATCAATCCAGCACTAAAGATGCTACTCAGTATTGTCTATGCTCAGTAATCTAAACCATATAAGGCCCACCCAAATTAAAGTTAGCTGAATTTCCTACCAGAAATGTCAAATCCAGCAGCAACTCCCACTGTTGTCCTGGCTGCTACCCTTACCATCGAACCAACTGGAAATGCTGCTGTCGACCCGGCCGGTAAGACCATCATCTTCGTCCCTGCTGCTACTTCGGCCTTTGACCCAGCCACTACTCATGCCATTTCCCTGGCCACTAATCCCAAAAGCAAACCACCTGCTGCTCATGCCATCGACCCAATTGCTACTCATGCCATTGCCTTACCCACAAATCCTGCTATCAACCCAGTCGTTGAACCAGCCAATACCCCTGCTGATAATATATCCTGCATTCGACCTGGCTGATACTATAACCATAAACCCTGCCGCTACTTACACCATCATACTGGCTGCTAATCTCGATGTCATCCTGGCCACTACTCCCATTGTCGAGCCAGCCACTACTCCCACTAGTGGAGACAAAGCTTAGCAGATGTGGCTGTCATTAAGTTAAATATTCCATTTCATATAATAATTCCCAATGTCAGGGACAGGAAATCTGTATGTAGGCTTCCCTCTAAGTCAAACTACTGACCTTTCCCAGGATGCAACCCACAACAGTTGCCTAACTTCCAGGTACCTATTTATTGCCTGGTGAATAAGAGACATTACGTGAAAGGAAATATGACCAACCATTTCTGTCCCACCCGGAGATCAAATGTGGGATCCCCAATAGTGAGTCGTGAATGTAGACCACTCTACTATAACACTAAATGCTTTAGATTTAAAAAAAAATCTGGGATAAAGGGAAAACTTTGTCTTATCACCTATGCCACCAGGCTTACCCACAGGTCTGAAGGGTCCTCCAGCTATATAATACTTGTATTCCAAGTCTTTAATTTTCTTGTAATTTAGAAGTTTAGTGTAAATGATCACAACTCCAATTATCTATTTACCGAGATGTAAATATTGCCGGTACTGTATTTGCCCTTTCATGGCAGCTTCCTGTTACCTTTTCATCATATCTGCCATTTGCTGCTGTTGCTGTTGAAGCTGTTGAGCCATGTGCATCTCAAGCTGATTTTGATTTTGTTGCAGTTGAGCTGCAATGGCTGCTGCCTGAGCATTGACCTCTTCCTGTTGCGTTGAAAACTGATGCTCCAATTTTTCTGTTGGTTATAAAGAATGTGCACTTTATTGCAATTTCTTAAGAAAAAATAACACTAATACTAATACAGAAGTCAGTATTGAAGAAATTTTAGCACCGTATTCAAAAGAAAACTTGTGTAAACTTGGTGGAATGAAATTCAGTGGTAAATACCTTTAAGATAAACAAATTTTTCCCTAGTTCAAATTATGTTTGAAATGAACAGTTGTTTGTTATATTTGTTCTATGTGGTATTGAATTAATTTCATGCAGTACCATGTGACCGCTCTCATCGCAGACACTCAAGAGACCTCAGAGATGACTTCATCAAATTTAAGTAAAATGTAAACAAACCCAATTATGGCTAATTATTATACACTATATTATCACCAACAATAATAACTTAACATATAAACAAATACAGTACTGCTTAAACTCATTTATCCGGACTATGTGGGAAGGACCCCTCACCGGATAAGTCAGACATCCGGATAATCAGAATCCTTACTGGGGAAGTCCAAAAACGACAATAGAGTATTTGCAATTTTTTGAACCACAACCAACTTAATTCCACAAATTCCGTCAATTAATTCCACAAGTCAAATTTCCACACACACATCATAAATAAAAAATATAATTTAAAACTAAAACTTCAATTTACCTCGTTGAATTTCGTCAAACTAAATTTACCTTGTTTGATGCTGTAAATCTTGAACCTGTGGAGTTCTTGAAAATTTGCATAATTTAATCTCCAGTTATCCAGATTTTTATCTAGATATAGCGAAGTTTTGCCACAAAATTATCTGGACGTGATTTTGGCCTGATAACCTAAATACTTGTATTCAGTTCAGTGGGCTTCAGATAACCGAGCTCATACACTATAACCAATAACATTGATACTAATTATTTTTCTCAGTAGCCATACATTACAGAAAGAGGTCTGGTGGTTCAACAGGTACTGGATCAAACAAAATACCCGATGGAATCAATCAGGTCTGCCTTAGATAGAAAGTTTCCCTCCGAATTTCCACTACATACATAGAAAATGTTTCTCTATACATTAGCGACAAAGTGGGGAATAAAGCCGACTCTAGTGTCCCCTGGGAGATAATTACGTGTATGAAATTTGAAACAATTTGTTAGACGTAAAATATTGTCACAAATGATCTTATAAATCATACATCTCCCCATGAACACTGATAATATCAATGGTATCACAAATGAATCACAAAGTTCTTAAGCAGTACTGTAACCTTACACTGTATGCTTAAAAAATGCCTTCACTAAATCTAAAGCAACCTGGTTAGGGGTACTGTTAAAAAGAAAACAAAACACGAAGGCCTCCCACAATCTGATTACATGAATAAGCAACAGGGATGCTGCACAACCCAAAACCAAACTTGAAACTGTCATTACATAACTACAAAGCCATTAATTAGCACAGCCTATTTTATAATTCTAAAGGCACAAGTACTACATACAGTTCCATTAGACAGCCACCTATTTGAACTTATCAGTACAGTACTCTTATCAGCACAGCCTGTTTATAGATAATGAAACTGTGTGTACACTAAATTTAAGGCAATTCTCTGAAGCATTCTTGATATGTCGTACAGCACTATATTGTTTAAAATGATGAGCATTGGCAGGCCCAAAGACTGGAAAATAAACTAAGAGTGTATAGCATATTATGCAATTTTAAGCCATTAATTTAATTTCCAGCATTTGGTCAAGTATCTGTTGGGATACTATCTATGAATATATTCAAATAGTGAGCAAATTAGGTACCATAGCCTAGAGTGGGTTACACTGCCCTAAAAGAAGTGTGCGCCATATCATACCAATACTCAAGAGTTTCAAGTTTAAAATGATGTACTGTACATTTATTAAAATGTTCTCAAGTAATCAGAAAGATAATGTCAGAAAACAATTAGTATTGTCATTTATTGTACAGAATTAGTTATTTTCTGACATTATACATCCAGTACATAACTTGAGGTAAGGTGTGAGTATCAAACATGAAGCAATTTCATTTAAGATAACCAATGGTAAGACTAACATTACAGAAAATGTGTTAGGTCCAGAAATTTGAGAAAAGACTGCACAGCACCCTGAATGGTGCTAAGACATGTCAAGGTGAATGAAATTGTATACATAAAAGCTGATTTATTAGTCATTAACTTTGAAATGCAGAGTACATAGAAATCTAAGGAATCAGCTTTTAAAACAGTCATCAGCAGTCTAAATTACCCAAAGAAACTAAGAGCATCTTACATTAAGTTTGAAGTCAGTCCCCTGAAACATCCTGTAGATATTATCCACAAACAAATGTTAGGAGTAAGCAAAGATAAAATATATGAAACAAAATACAGGCAAAAACTAAAGGACAATTTAATGTCCTCTACAATGAGGACAACCAATAATTATCAAGTTTTGACTTGGGTATCCTATTTAAAATGGTATCCTATGAAATGTTAGGAATCTTGTTATAACTTACTGTACAAATTTCCTGCTTCAACTGTAGAAGACATGGCAGGCACAGTAGACACAACAGCTGGGGCAGGATGGGCTATGCCTGTAACTGTGGGCATTACAAGGGGCAAATTGGCTGCAGGGATAGGAGATGCTTGAGTACCATGATTGGCAGAGGGAGTGAGAGACACACTGCTCGCTCTAATGTCTGCTCTCAGTGCACTGGGAGAAGCAGACCCTGGAACACTGCGAGACACATCCAACTGCTTCAGATTTGGAGAACTGTCCCGAGATGCAGCCTGTGAAGGCGGATAAAGTGTTATCATTCACCTGAATTTTCTTCTATATGTTGTTCATGAATATGCAAAATATTTAACCTAAATATAATAGAAAAAAAAACAGACTCTAGATGTATATACAGATACAGTACTGTATACCATTATAAGCACACGTGCTGTATACGTACTGTATAGCAAATATAACAATAAAATATAAAACAATTTGCCTTAAAAGTTAGAGAGATTTAATTATTTTTCTCACCTTCATAGGCGATTTCGTGCTGCTGGCCAAAAGATTTCCTAACCAATCCTGACTTTTGCTGGGGGAAGGTTTTATAATACTATCATCTACTTTCTCAATGGAAGCTGTAACTTGAGTGTCATCTATATTTTTCTTTGCAGAATCTGTCACTGACCCTGAATCACCAAAAAGCCAGTCATCTTTATTTTGAACTTTAGCTGGAGATTTTGTAATCCCTTTTGCCGTGTCTTTTGTCTTCAAACTCTGACTACCATCTTTGTTACCTTCTTTGCGAGATCGAATATTTCCCAAAATATCATCATCATCTACTTCAAACGTCTTTCTATGGGATGCTGACCGTGGATTTCGTCTTTTTGGTTCCTTATCACTAAAGAGGTCAAAGTTATCATTAGAGACCGATTTGTTTGGAGTTCTTCTCAGTGGACTGTCTAGCTTGCTGGCTGAAGGTACATATCCCCCAAAATCTCTCTTCTCGTCTTTAACATTCTTGCCCATATTTCTATACTTATCATCTAAAACAAACTCTGGAGACTTTTCTTTTTTTGCCTTGGGATTTTCAGAGCTGCCTTTCTTCAACAGACTATCTAAAAAACTTCCACTCTTGCCAGAGTCTTTGACTGGGCCAGGCTTCCCTCTAGTTTCACCCAAGCCACCTAGTAAGTCATCATCATCATCAAATACAATGTCATCTTTAGCCTTTTTAGCTGGCCCTCTCCTTGCAGCTGTTCTCCCTAAACCATTCTGACCTCCTCCAGTGGATGGTTTCAATTTATCAGGACTAGAGCCATCAGTCTCTCCAAATAAATCCGTCATCAACTTACTCTTATCCTTCTTAAATTCATAAGCACTAGGAGATTTATTCATTTTAGTGTCTTTAGTGACATCTTCAGAATTTTCACTGAACAAATCAGCCATTAGTTTACTTTTAGATGTCGTCGTTGTCGTCTTACTGGACTCGGGAATGTCCAACCCATCCTTTTTCCTAAAATTAGCAGCTTTTGCAGGTGAAGATTTAATTGCTTCTGTAATATACAAGATAAAACATAACATGTGATAAACTTAAATTATATACAGATATTATACCATATATACATATATGTTTTGTGAATGCTTCAACTGAACATTTTACCATATGCTGCATGGGACAAGTTCTGTTCTTAAATTTTTCAGACAAGTTTTCCCATTGTCAGTGACAGGAAGCCTGTTAGATTTATCGAGGTACCCCTAGGTTTACAACCGACCTTCCCATGGATGCAACTCTCAACAAATGTCTACTCCCAGGAATCTATTTGCTGCATGATGAACAGAGGCATCAGGTGTAAGGAAACATGCCCAAATGTCTTGCCCTGCCCAGAATTAAGCTCGGATAGAATGTATAATCCCACTAGAAGCCAACAATCAGTGTGTATCCTTATGTTCAAGTACCAAGTGGAGGTCGGAGAGCTAAACATATCAGAAGGATGGATGGATGGCTGTTCAGTTAATCAAAATATTAGAACACATACAATACAAAAACAGAGACCTAAGCATAAGAAAATGCCCCTTTTCTGGACAACACCTCAGATGTTTCCTTAGTTTTTCACACGCGAACAGACTGGGCACTGTGAATGTGTCAGGGCCCTTGATTTACACAAAATTTACTGTTTTGACAAGCTGTTATTTACCGTTTCATTATGACAAGCTCTAACATAACGATCCTGGATTTCTAAAAATCTAATGGCGTCCTCACTAATAAGGTAACTTCTAGATTTTCCTAAGCACAGATGTGCAGCATTGGGGCAGTTCACATTTACCTGATGTCTTCCTAGGCCCAAGTCCTGTACCTCTGGCTACTGCTTCCAAGGGAAATTTACTTATTACATTTTTATTAGGTTTACTGAAGAAGTGCAATAGGGGAAAAAGCAAGAATAGCTACTAAGAGGACCCACCCAAAAAGAGGGGCTTAGTATTGCAATGACCCTTTTTTTGACAGCACTTCGGTAGTTTCTCATTCCCCCTTTTGTTTCCTGTCTCCCTATCTGTATCAGTTATTTGACCTGTCTCATTTCTTAATGAATAGTCTTCTATCTAAAGTATATATGGAAAAATAGTCTTCTATCTACAGTATATATGGAATATCTGAAAATAAAAATTGAATATCTGATTTTGCTTTCCCTGCAATCTGCAATTCATGCCCTATTTCTGCTTTCTATACCTTCTTTTTAATTAAGGGGTTCTCACTTGCATGATCAATTTCTGTATAAAATAAACTTACCAACTCATAATTCATTTATACATTGCTTTATGTTTTTAATAAAGTTCTTTTGTCTCACACTTAACTATTTTGTCAGTATTCAACCTATCACATTTACAGTCATAAAACAGTGAACAATGTCCTTGAGCTTTAATTGAAATAGTTTTAAATGTGCTTTTAATATTTAACTTCATTTTAATTCAGTGTCAAGTCACAAGCTGATGAAGCCATGTCAACTCTGAAGACCAATTCCCTCCCCCCACCTCACCCTCAATTCCCTCCCCCCCACCCCACCCGCTCAATTTTGTTTCATCTATTCATGTTGTGTAATTCTTCAATCCATCATAATCAGCTATAAAAAAATTTGAAACTAGCAGTTTCTCTCACACTTTTCATGACATCTTTTAACCTGATTTCTATTTGATTACTGTTTACCAACTGACTAATTCAATGTTATTTACTACCGACTCCTTGCTGACCAGCACGAATTCTCATTTTTTTTTCCCGGTATCAAACATTTTCAAGAGTTTTCTGTCAACTCCATTTTACTGATCAAGTTTAATAAACCAAAACTGAAGTTTGTGATTGGTACAAATATCATCAGAATACAGTACTGTTCAGTAATTGCTACAATGTTACACTATTCAATTTAAATAGCAGTCATACTTTTTGACTAAGTATTTTAAGATTAAAATCAATCCAATAAAGGTACCTTCAAGATATTAAACTGAAGGATACTAACTACATGAACCAGCCTTCTTATAGTATATGGTCTCCATAGTGAACCAATATCAAATCAAAACTCTGAGGCAGCATCTAATTAGTCTTCCACTTAGATAATTAAGATTTGGCAGAAACACTCAACAATTACTATTGTTGTGCTGGGAAGCAAAGGCACGAGGAAAGGAGAAGGAGCACCTTAAGACGCACACAACATAGGTGAGAAGGTGGAGGCTAAAATCGTCAGTAATTTCAAAGGTTATACGACAGAGTGCTGGAAAGTCAGGACACTACTAGCGTAGCTCTCATCCTGTAACTACACTTAGGTAATTACAATTAGGTAATTACACATACAAGAAAGGTAGAGGGATGAAGACAAAGACACAATGGTAATAAGTTAAATGAATGAATTAGAAATTAGGAAACACAGTACATGAAAATGAGAAGATCAAGAAATATAATTAGAATGAAATAATCACTGAGATAATCATTTACTATCATCCTTAATAGCAGTTACCATGTATACATAAGATCAACCAATATAAACATGTATGAAATACAATATCTACTGATACTGTATTAGTAAATGCAAGCACAATGCACGACTCACCTGACGACTCCAACTTTTTAGCCGATGGTCCTCGGGGCTTGACTTCATCATCTGACTGCAAGAGGTCATCAGCATCCCAATCTAACAGATAATTAACAATCATGAGCTTGAAATGCATCAATTTAAATTATTTACAGAAATTACTTTCATTACATTTTTTTAAATGGAAATAATACATTAAAATTGTAAGTACATTACTTGAAGTAAGAGATATCGGTGAAATCTCAAGAAAGATCGATTCCTATTTATTTTGGAGGTGCAATTATCTTGAAGGATTAGAGGCTAGTGGAACTTTATTTCATACAATACTTACAGTCATATTTGCCTCTGGTCAGTTATGAAAACCCTAATGACTGAATCAGCCCCCCTTGCTCTTTCAAAATGAACTGTTACGATATCTCTTCGTACTCACTCTGCAGTTCCACTTATAATTATTATGGCCTCTAATGCCACTCTTTATATTATCACAACCAGAGCATCAACAGGCAGAGAGAGGATAAGTCAAAACAACATGAATAAGCTTTCCAAATTAAATTAAAATTGACTTGAATGACACGAAATAAAAGTGAATGAGAAAAATAATGAGCAATGATAAAATATAAAAATCTGCCTACAAATCTGCTTTTCAATTACTGTACTGTACTGTACTTGCCTGTACCCTTATGGTGTGAATCTTTCTGGTCGCCTATCTCTCTCTTTCCCATCTTCATTACCTTATGCTTGTTTGAGAAGAGCTTTTAAGTCACTTCTCTCTCAACTTCTGATGTTTATCAAAATCTTCCTCTAGAACTGTACAGTCCTCCTAATGTTGCGTTTCTATTACAAAGTTTAAACTCTCCAGGTGCTCTATTATTCTATTCATAATTTCTTTCTTCAGTACTGCACTGTACACTGTACTTTTCAAGTCCCACAATGACTTTATAGAGAATATTGTTTTCCTACCACTTAGCTTACATTTTTCCACAGTACAGTGCTTTCTGCATGCCTTTTTGGTTTTTATTTCTTTAACGTTTCCACCTACATTACTATCCAATGGAAAATTCCTCATGATCCCCAAACACACAAAGAGTTCTATAAAAGTCATACATGTATACCTGATTGATTACCATTTAATTTTTATGACATTTTATAATAACATAATATTTAGGTTAGGTTTACCATCTCGTCCTTACTACCCAACAAGCTAACGGGGATAAGGATACAGTTTAACATGAAAACAGGGTTTATCCCCAGAGATATAGAATACTCAGTCTTTAATTCTTTGGCAAGAATTGGGGCTTCATAAGCCAAATAAAAAAAAATTAAGCATGTAATAAGATCATACCTTTCTCAAGGAAGGTGAGTACTTTTATTTCTTTCTCCAAGATTCACAGTAAAAAAAAAAATTGCTAATACATACCTTCATCATCATCTTCCAAAGGCTTCGCTGTTGCTTTTTTTGCTGATGTCACTGGTTTCTTATCAGAAGTCACCTGCTTTTTAAAATCTTTTTTATCTTGTGTTTTAGGAGCTGTACTTCCATCTGCAGACTTTGCAGAAGATTTCAGTGTGTTCTTAAATAGATCATTGTCTATCTCATCCAGATCCTGTAAAAAAGGCAAACAAATACCAAAAGCTGTAACATTGCACATCATAAAAATCTTTGAAAGAGTACTAAGAAGTAAGATCACAAAACACATGGAACCACATTTGTCTGCATAACTCTGGGCAACATGGATTCGGAACAGGGAACTCCTGCCTCTCACAATTGCTAAACCACTATGATATGGTCTTAGATGCCATGAAAGACAAACAAAACACTGATATAATACACAGATTTTGCAAAAACTTGCTCCAGTACTTTTCCTTATCTCCATATCAGACATAGACAAAGATACAAACTTGTCTAATCAAATATTTTTAAAGTATCTGTAAAAAGATATTTATCTGTAATTCTTGTCTCTACATATCTATCCTACTTACCCTTTAGTTGCCTAAATCACACATCAATATGAAATGTATATGCTTCAACATGTACAAAAAGCAATTTATTACAAACTGACTAAGTACTTACAGCCATCAATCTGGCCATCTCCTCAGGGTTAACATCAGACACAGGCTCCGAGTTAGAGCTGCTCACTTCCAAATCACTCATGATGGCAGCTGTCTGGTCAGAAAAAAACAATTTAGAAATTATACACTGTCCCTATGATTTACCATGATTGGTTTTGAGTTACTCAAGGTAAGATTTAGTTACATTAGGTGATGTGCAATTAGCTTAGGCTTGGTTAGGCAAGGTAAAATGATGTTTAGCTTGGTTACAATATGAGCTTCGGTTAGGCTAGCTAAGGGTACATTTGCCTTTGTTAAATTATGCTTGCCAGAGTGCAATTAAGAGGCTCTGGTATTATCATTTAAATTTATTTCTCACTTAATTTCTCTATATCCAAATAGCATGTCCATGAGACCAAATAGCAGAATCTACATCTGCTGCTGTAATTATAATCCAAATATCACTTATGCCAGATTCAAATTAGATTTCCAAATATTGAAATGCAAGAAACAATTCTCTTTTCTATGGAAATTTTCCAAAGATAAGCAAGTAGAATTAAAACCCATAGACCTAATTATTAGAAAAAAGCGATGAGCCAGTATGACTTTATAGCAGATGGAAGGGACACGAGGACAGAATAGGAGCTGGGATATGAAGGAAGGGAAGGGAACCATGAAGAGAAAGCACCAAGCCATTAAGACTATACAGCACTCGGAAGGGATCAGGATAAGGATTTGGGATGGGACGGGAGGAAAGGAATGGTGCCCAACCACTTGAACGGTTGGGGATTGAACGACAACCTGTATGATGCGAGACCGTCGCTCTTCCGTTCACTCGAAGTGGTTGAAAGGAGAGAAAGAAAGGTGCAGTATTATCTTAAATTATAGACAAGCTCAGCCTAAGCTTACCGTAGTTATGATGGGCACTTTTATATCACAGTAGGGCGTAGGCCTATTATAATAATAATAAATTATAATAATAAATTTATTTAGGTAAGGTACATACATACAATAAATTTTTACAAAGATTGGTTGACTTATAGGTAGAGCTAGTACATACAATGCCTAAAGCCACTATTACGCAAAGCGTTTCGGGCATGATAAACTTAAATGACAAGCTTAATACTAATTGAGCATAATGAGTAGAATGAAAACAAGAAATGAAAACATAGATGAAAAAGCAGCACAAATACAATTATGTCGACAAACAGCGCTCTTTAAAGAAAAACAGACATTGGTTGACAATAGAAGGGTAAGGTAGGTTACAGGGAATTTATTAGGTATAGCTTCGTTTTTAACTTAAACTGGTTGAGAGAGGTACAGTCTTTAACATGGTTGGGAAGGTCATTCCACATTCTGGGCCCCTTGATTTGTAGAGCATTTCTAGTTTGATTAAGTCGTACTCTAGGAATATCAAAACTGTATTTATTTCTGGTGTGGTGTCTGGTATTAATAATGCATAATCCTACATTTTCTTCTTCCTTAACGATGCGTGCAATTCAAATGATTTCTTCTTTCGTTTACTGCTTCGCCACATGCTGTGCCGTTTGATGACATTATGTTCCAAATTATTGTGGCTTGGAGGTGTATAATGTCGGTAGCAGAGCAGCAGCACTGACAGGAGACTGGACGGCCCGCGCCAGCTGGTGTTTACATCACAGCTTCACATTCCCACCACCAGGCTCTAGCCCAGACGGCACAAGCCTACTTTATTTACCTGAATTTACCTGAGGGCTACTATTTCTCTAGTAGCCTCGACGAGGATAGGAGGCTGGCGGCTTGTCAAAGGTCCCCCAATTTGTCCTGGTGATTTTATCGAGCTGGATTTTAAAATTCCAGTTTTTTGGCAGTTACGGCTTTAGCGGGTAGGCATGCAATTCCATGGGTTTATAACCCTATGGGTGAAAAAGCTTTTTACGTACAATTATGTTACGTTATTGGGTAGATTAGACATAGTTTTTAGTAGTTTTTATATTTATTTAGTAGTCTTGGTTACCGCAGTCGGCTGTTGGCAGTGTCATAGAACTTACGACGACCAGAGCAGAGCACAGTCAGAATCCGTGGTGTAGTGGTAAGACACTCGCCTGGCGTTCCGCGAGCGCTTTGTCATGGGTTCGTATCCTGGCCGGGGAGGATTTACTGGGCGCAAATCCTTAACTGTAGCCTCTGTTTAACTCAACAGTAAAATGTGTACTTGGTTGTAACAACAATTCTTCGCGGCGGAGATCGTATTCCAACAGGGACCTGCCCGAAACGCTACGCGTACTAGTGGCTGTACAAGAATGTAACAACTCTTGTATATATCTAAAAAATATCTAAAAAATTAAAAAATATATCTAAAAAAAAAAAAAAAAAAGAATCGCGGAGCTCGATGCGGGACGAGAGCGTTTAAGCTCGATGCGTCTTCGTGATGATGATTACCCGATGTATGATGATTGATGATGATTAAGCCACCCAAGAGGTGGCACGGGCATGAATAGCCAGTAAGATGATTACTCGATTGATTGATTGATAAAGATTAAGTCACCCAAAAGGTGGCACGGGCATGAATAGCCCGTAAGTGGAGGCTCTTTAGAGCCATCACCAGTACCAACAACTGATGCTGGAGATCTGTGGATGGATCAAGATCTGCGAGCTTCATGGTCGCTCGCAGTTTATGGCCCACAGGACGCTTGTTCGCCAGGTTGCAGTTTAATGTGCAAAGCGACGCTTTATTTCTGAACAGAATAACCTGGGTAGTGTAGTTATTCTGAATCATCAGAATCGTCGTCTTTTTCGAGGAATTGCATTTGTCTGTCTGGGAATTTGCGGTGGAATTCTGGGTGGCGGTATTCTTTCTTCATTATGATGAGGTCAGTGTAGGAGTTCATGGTGTAGCCAAACTTCGTCTGGCGTGTTCCTTGCCATCGAACTCGCTGGGTGGAAGGAAGAGCACCATGGCAAGTACTTTTGTCTTCGTCGTCGGTCGCAAGGCCAAGGTCGGTACAGGGGCTCTCGAGAGCCTCGGAGTTTCGGGTGGTCCGTCGTCGTCTTTGGGATGATTATAATATAAAATAATATATAACATTCACTAGTTCAAATGGGCGCCACACCAGAGACTTGTACAGTTGAACAATCACTTTATTTTACTTGAAGTCAAAGGTTGTTGTTTTACTATTCCTAGCTTTTCTTTTTTACGTCAGCTTCTACTTCTGCAACTTTCAGTGACTGGTAGATTTTAACCCCTACATAGGTCCTTTTCTTCATCAATTTGCTGCATGATAATAGAGCCGATTTGATAATTATATGTGCACTGATTCGTCCTACCTGCAAGGCCTTACTTCTGATAAGGAACTGTATCAAATTTTTGACACTTTCGAAAGATACACTTGATCCAGTCTTTATTTTTCCTCTGGTATTCTTGTCATAGAACTCGATGAAGTTTGTCAGGCATGAATTTTCCCTTTTAAAATCCTTGCTGCCTTTCTGTTGCCAAGTTTATCCGCTACAGTGTGGTGGAGAGAGGGAGGGGTGGATGGGCCAGAGCGTCGTGATGGAAGGGGCCGCAGGGGAGGGGACCCTGGAGTGATGTGATGGGAGGGGTGGTGGTCCAGAGTGTGGCGGAGGGAGGGACGCGAGGCCACTGGCTTGCTCAGTGTACTGGTACATGTGCTCGCGTGTGTGTGTTGAGTGGACTGCCACCTGCCTCATTGTCACACTCTGCGTCCCGCACGCACGCACTCACACACATACACGATTCTCACACACACACACACACACACACACACACACACACACACACACACACACACACACACACACACACACACACACACACACACACACACACACACACACACGCACGCACACACACACACACACACACACACATAGTTGTTACATAACCACGTGGCTAACTGTTAAGACCTTAAACTGAGAGTGCAAAATATCTAAAACTAAGGTAATGTACATCTTTATCTTTTTGTGGAATTTGGTGATGATTATACATATGTTGTAGGAGCAAGTGCACATGGAGGCTGAGAAAGTATACATGGAGGCTGAGAAAGTGTACATGGAGGCTGAGAAAGTATACGTGGAGGCTGAGAAAGTGTACATGGAGGCTGAAAAAGTGTACATGGAACCTGAGAAAGCGTACATGAAGGCTGAGAAGGTGTAGGTGACCTGGCGGGAGGCAAGGTCAGGCCTCGCTGCCCTCAGAGGCCCCGTGGAAGGTCTTCAAGGTCCACACTCGACCATTTCCCGGTGTCAGTTTCCGTATAAAGTTACTAGGCGACACCTTGCTGAGTTCTATACGTTATATAGGCTATATCCACTCTACTGTGGACCTATAACAAATCTAGGGGCACCCATATGGAGCTTATGTGAATGGTGAGACGCGGTGTTTGCTTCCCCTGGCTACTCTGGGATTGGTTTTTGATTGTTGCCGCCAGAGGCTGGCAGTTTATTGTGCACCCCATACTCATCCTGTGAGCGGCAGTTTATTGTGCACCCCATACTCATCCTGTGAGCGATAGATTGTTGTGTGATCCATACTCATCCTGTGAGCGATAGATTGTTGTGTGACCCATACTCATCCTGTGAGCGATAGATTGTTGTGTGACCCATACTCATCCTGTGAGCGATAGATTGTTGTGTGATCCATACTCATCCTGTGAGCGATAGATTGTTGTGTGATCCATACTCATCCTGTGAGCGGTAGATTATTGTGCACCCCATACTCATCCTGTGAGCGGTAGATTGTTGTGTGACCCATACTCATCCTGTGAGCGGTAGATTATTGTGCACCCCATACTCATGCTGTGAGCGGTAGTTTATTGTGCACCCCATACTCATCCTGTGAGCGGTAGATTATTGTGCACCCCATACTCATGTTCTGAGCGCTAGTTTATTGTGAAAACAACCCCTGTTCTTCTCTGGTTATTTTCCTTGAAAGTGTAGAGAAACATGAAAAAAATCAGAGTTGTCGTTAATTATCGCCCTACCGTCACAGTCGAAGTAGTTGGCGAGTGTTAACGAAGTGCGTTATCGCCAGAGTTAATGACGTAAGGGAGTACTAATGTTAATGAAGAGGAGATATTGTGTCCGGAGTTCAATTAGTCGACGCTAACCTTGAGCTGTTAGCCGATGGCTTCAATTTTAGTTTAATTTATATATTATTACCCCCCCCCCCTCCCCTGACCCATCCTGTGGGCGGCAGTGCAGCCCATAGCCATCTTGGGGGCGGCAGTGGACAAGGTTACAGAGGCACATAATGTGCTCAGGAACTGTACCTTACTGTTCATTTGAACTGTTCATCCTATGGTCCCTGGAATACGATCCCCTGCCGCGAAGAATCGTTTTTTCATCCAAGTACACATTTTACTGTTGCGTTAAACAGAGGCTACAGTTAAGGAATTGCGCCCAGTAAATCCTCCCCGGCCAGGATACGAACCCATGACATAGCGCTCGCGGAACGCCAGGCGAGTGTCTTACCACTACACCACGGAGACTGTTTAACTCCGCCCACAAGTAGATAGCCTCCGGCTCTCTACCAAGCCACTCCTTAAACGTTGGCATGTTTGAAGGCTACCAGGCTCCAATTATAAGATTAGTAGAAGTAAGGTGAAATTCGCATGATCTGACCTCAGGTCACTTGAGGTCATTAACTCTTAGAGGTGTGAAACTCCGGCCGACAACTTGGCGCCTTCTCAAATCCCTGTCTGTGACTCATGTACTCTATGTATGTATTAAATACAACTAAACCAAACACTTTTACAGTGTTACAACCATAGCCCGAGCTACTTGGAACATTTTGTTTCCTAGAAGCTGAATCTAGAATGACAACAACGTGTAATCCGCTTCAATGTATACATGAACAATGGGGTCAACAACGGTCCCCCAAGCTATACACCATTTACATTTGCGGTCAGCTAGTTACACATAATTAATTTGACTTGCTTATTATGCACACCACGCCCACTGTAGGGGCGGCGGAGGGAAGGTTACACTCACTAACACACATTAGCAACTAGGGGGGACACGTGACTAAAATGTTTCGTAGTACATAATTTGGAGTGAAATGGTTACACATTTCTTGAACATATGTTACTGAGCTGTAACAAATGAGATGACACGCATGACGTCACCATGCAAGGAAAGACTAGTAACTGTATTATTATTATTATTATTATTATTATTATTATTATTATTATTATTATTATTATTATTATTATTATTATTATTATTGTTATTATTATGGTTAATGAGCGTCTGGAGCAATGAGAGTGTGGGCGGAGGTGAGTTAGCAGTGAGCTGAGGTGGGCGGTGGTGCTGAGGTCCTGTCACTGGCCGCCCGTGTCCACCGTCTTTAATGCTCCACTCTCAGCCCCCGCCCTCACCTGTTACCGTAGCCAGCACTCTCAGCCCCCAGCTGAGTTCTGTGTTCAGAACTATCGGTATGAGGCACTTGGGCCTTTCCAATTCCTTCACCCACTCCTGTGTTCTTGAGAACCTCACCAGGCACCAATGTTGTCTGTCTTGGCTACTCATCACTCGCCCAAATGACCATAACCATCCAGTGACATCGTCTTCTCGTGTCACAATGAGCTCTCGACACACTCTTTAATCCTTCATATACTCTAGGGAAGCTGAATAAATAACCATCTAAAAGTAACATATATATATATATATATAGAGAGAGAGAGAGAGCAGCGCCAACAAACACACACAATAGGCCCCGCTCCTGTGCCAGGTAAGTTACGGGCTCACCATAGCCTGTGCTACTTGGAACTTATTCCGAGTAGCTGAATCTATAACAACAACAACAACTTCAACAAACAGGGATGTGTTGTGTACCACACCGCCACCCAGCTCTCCACCACCGCCCATGTAAGGTTCGTATTAGCTGGGTGGTCAACCTGACGCATTCTGGATGGTGGGAAGGTTACCTTGAGGTTACCTTGAGGTGCTTCCGGGGCTCAGCGTCCCCGCGGCCCGGTCGTCGACCAGGCCTCCTGAGTGGTCGACAAGGCCTGGGAAAGCTAGAGTGTTGTCCCATATAACGAGTGTTCCCAGCGCCGCCTGGCGGCTCTTCCGGCAACAGTGTTCATATGTTAATTAACACGGCGAGAACAATGCGCTTGCCAGTGAGCCTATATTTACCTCTCACGGTGGTCGGCCAGGCTGTGGCATACGCATCATTGTTTCGTGAGGCGGACAGTGTGAGTGAAATCTAACGGAGTAGGCAAGTTAGCCGTGCTGGGTCGGCAGCGGCTACGACATTCTTGCCACACAACCTCCTCTCTCCACCACACACACACACACACACACACACACACACACACACACACACACACACGCACACGCACACGCACACAGGTTTTTTTTCAGGTAAGGGACCTCGCGGCTGTGTGGACAGCACTTGTAGCCCCTAATGGCCCGGGTTCGATACCCGAGGGAGGCGGAAACAAACGGACAGAGTTTCTTTCGCCCTAATGCACCTGTTCACCTAGCAGTAAATACGTACCTGGGAGTTAGACAGCTGCTACGGGCTGCTTCCTGGGGATGTGTGCGTGTGTTAGAGATAAATATATGTAGTAGATATAATAAAAGGAAAAAAAGATTGCTTAGAAAGGCGGGGTCCAAGAGCTAATAGCACGAAACTGCAGACACAAATAGTAAATACACCCACACAGGGCGAGTATACTTAACATACTCAGCATGTATAACATACCGCTAGAGTACGGGAGCGACAGGTCCAGAGTTCCTGATATCACGACCATATTTAAATGAATAGACACTCCACATGCTGTAAGACACACTCCAGGGGCCCTCACGGTAGCACAAGACACTCCACATGCTCTAAGACACACTCCAGGGGCCCCCACGGCAGCACAAGGCACTCCACATGCTGTAAGACACACTCTAGGGGCCCTCACGGCAGTACAAGGCACTCCACATGCTGTAAGACACACCCCCAGGGGCCCCCACGGCAGCACAAGGCACTCCACATGCTGTAAGACACACTCTAGGGGCCCTCACGGCAGTACAAGGCACTCCACATGCTGTAAGACACACCCCCAGGGGCCCCCACGGCAGCACAAGGCACTCCACATGCTGTAAGACACACTCTAGGGGCCCTCACGGCAGTACAAGGCACTCCACATGCTGTAAGACACCCCCCAGGGGCCCCCACGGCAGCACAAGACACTCCACATGCTGTAAGACACACTCCAGGGGCCCCCACGGCAGCACAAGACACTCCACATGCTGTAAGACACACGCCAGGGGCCCCCGCGGCAGCACAAGACACTCCACATGCTGTAAGACACACTCCAGGGGCCCTCACGGCAGCACAAGGCACTCCACATGCTGTAAGACACACTCCAGGGGCCCCCGCGGCAGCACAAGACACTCCACATGCTGTAAGACACACTCCAGGGGCCCTCACGGCAGCACAAGGCACTCCACATGCTGTAAGACACACTCCAGGGGCCCTCACGGCAGGACAAGACACTCCACATGCTGTATAAGGTGTCCTCACCATCCTGACCACAAAATAAATATATATGTGGACAGGAATGAATTTACTTGCCGTATGGAGTATGTTGCTGTGATCCGGGTGTGTGTGTGTCGGGCAGTGTATTTGTCAGCAGTAAAGTGTCGGGCAGTGTGTTTGTCAGCAGTAAAATGTCGAGCAGTGTGTTTGTCAGCAGTAAAGTGTCGGGCAGTAAAGTGTAAAGTAAATTTTTGTTATGCTCTCAAATCCCCAACAATATTCTGAAATATCTCGTTCGCAATTCATTTGTTTCTCTTCAGTGGTGTTCACGATCCCATTTTGTTTACAACACTCTCTCTCTCTCTCTCTCTCTCTCTCTCTCTCTCTCTCTCTCTCTCTCTCTCTCTCTCTCTCTGGTAAAATTATCACCTACAAATCACACCTGTCAGGTATGGTTACTGCTA